TGGATCTATATCATCGTATCACCTCTGGTCTTTTCTTTTCTCTCTTATTTTCACACAGAGACATTCAACAAGTCTGCTTCTCACCTTTTCCAGAACTTTAGAAAAAAGTGTATGTATAAAAAAAAAGTATATGACATAAAATTTAAAGTCTTCTTGCTTTTTCCCCAACTACTTTTAGTGAACAAGCTAGATCAATACTCTACTCATGTAATTTATCCAAGCACTAACTCACTTCGGAATTTAAACTCTTTGAAGGTTTGGAAACATTTTTCTTGATGTCCTGTTAACTAAGCAGCCAGCCAACACCGTGTGCCTTACCTACAAGCTCTGCTGGAAGGAAGAATGAATTATGTATAGCAGAATAATGCAATACCATATCAGGTCTTCTCTCTCATTAGATGAGTAAGAAGAGGTGATTTTGCATGTTCCAGACTGTTACCGTACAGGACATACTGACCGAGAAAATGAATGGTGGCGTTAGGAGATGCAGACAAAAGGACATGGGATGAAATTACAGAAAGTTAGTGGAGGAGGAAGGATCAGGTTACCTACAGGAATCAGAATGGCCATGAGAAGTGGAAGGTATCTGGTGACTAGCCCGGCTGTTTTAGTAGCCAGAAATAATAGTACATCACATGTGGGAAGACCCTGAAGTCATAAACCCAGTTGTGATTTGCAAGGGACAGAGCTTGATTTAACTGGAAGACTTTGGGCAGATAGATAAGTGTCAGCATGTTTGTGGCGTTAGCAACATGGAAAGTCTGATCCCTGAAGGTGCAAATATTTAACCTCGTCTGTGTCTTTGAAGCTTTTTCAGTTTTACTAGTTAATTTACCACCAGACCTCTCCCAAGTATAATGTTAATACAGGTAATTTTGTCAACAATATCCCTTTGCAAAGAATAGCTGGTTATTATTCATGGTAGTATGTCTCCATGTACTACAGAAAACAGTCAAGGGTATGGATGAGCAGTTCAGACCACACAAAATGAAAAGTATTTTCACATTTGGAAAGAACATATTGCAAACAGGAAAGTGCTAGACATAATATTTTTAAAGTAAAAGTATTTAATTTAGAATAATTGTGTTATTATTAAATATAAGATAAAAATAATATAGTGAGATTTATATGAGTCATATTTTACAGTCTGGTTCCATAGTGTTTTATGCAGCCAGCCCGGTGAGTTTTCCAGTACATAATGTCTTAGAAGGGTGTCAGATAATACAAAGCTATAAGACTTTTCAACAGCAGATACTTCCTCAAAGCTGGGAGTCCAAATTCTTTACTTGACTTTCAAAAATGTAGGCCTTACATTTTTGTGATTGTTTTCTCCATTTATTTTAATTTTTTGAATAATGAGTGCTAATGAATGATGCTGGACTGAGCCTTGGGGACTGTTGTTCTTTAAGAACTGCAGGATAGGCAAAAGCGCACACAATGGAGTCTGTAAAGTGGCACGAACACTGTCCTATCTGTTTGCTTTCAAACTGGCTTGTTTTGGGGACATAGCTGGGATCACACGCTTGCTTATTCATCCCGGTCTGTGAATGCAGTTTCTACTGATGCTAGGGCCTTGAGACGTTGATTGACAATGACTGCAATTATCAGCCTATTTTGTATTAGATTTTCCCCCGCTGTGGTCACAACAGGAGGATGCTGAACATTCCTTGTACTTTTTCATTACTTAATTGCATCTATTCTGTAAACATTAATGCAAGGTCATATCTTGCCCATCTTACTTCATTTAAGTTAAAGTTGTTGGGATTGCTTGCATAACTGAAGACACATGGATGTGATCCATGATAAAAAATAAATTATATCATTAACCTGACATTGTGTCCAGAGAAAATCCACCTGCTTAGAGCAAAGCCACTAATGTTAAATATCCTTTAACTCTAGTATAGAAAACGTAATAAACATCAGGAAGGTTTGAGCTCAAGAGGAATTAGCTGGAATCAGGCTGTTTTAAGACCCTTATAAATTTCTGATGATAAAACACCTGCAGTGTGAGTGACATCATTTCAGCTACCCCTTTCTTGAACACACGTGGTCACTCAGTCTGAGTTGTGTAGTAATTTTGTAACGTGAGTTGTAATGATTCAATATCCATTGGCAACGTAAAACTGAAGATTTCTGAAGATTTCGTGTTGCTTTTGTATGCAGTAATGCAGGTTTGTGCTTAAGGCTATCACTCACAGAGCAGGACTTTGCCTAAGGAGGAGGCTGAGGGTAGAGAACAACCTCACGTAGCCAGTAGGAAATGTCAGGCATGGACGTGAGCTTTAAGCCTTCCCCTCGCATCCTACCACTGGGCACCTGAGAGAGAGACTGGCACTTCCCTCTCTACTCCCCATCATGACGAAGTTTTAGTTAGCAATGAGGTCTCCTCAAAGCTGAACAAACCAAGTATCTTCAGTCGCTCCTCATTAGTCATGACCTGCAGTCTTTTCACCATCCTTGTTGCCCTCCTTTGGACACATTCTAATATTTTTATCCAGTTGGTCCTTTTTGCCACCAGGGCACATTTTTGACTTGTACTGAGCTTACCATCAATCAAACCCTCCAGATCCCTTTCTGCAGGTCTGCACTCCAGCCTTTTGCCCCCCCCCAAGTCTATACATAAAAGGATATTAAATTAATAAGGCATGTCTTTCCCTTCATGAACCCGTGCTGGCTTTGACTGTAGGTGCTTACACCTGAAGCACTGAGCAGGAATTTTGAGTCGTTTTCATGCAAAAAAACCCCACATTGGACTTAAGTGCTCGAAGGGGCATATCTCTGAAAAGTTTGTGCATGGAAGTTGTCCATGAAATTAGGCTTCTTAAGTCAAGTCAAAGTTTTCTTTAACTTCATGCCCAAAAATCATTTCTGGATAAGACTTAACACTTCCCTGACCATCCTTCCCACCCGTTTAAGACTCCCTGATTCCCCAGTTAATGACCGCAGACAGTTTTACAAGAGTAAATAAATGTGGCGTCAGAATGCTAGAGGGTCTAGAATGTAAATATCAGCAAGTGTAAGGTCAACAGAAGACCAACACCTTTGCAGTGAAATGTAGTTACTGCTGACTGTGCCATAACCACTAAACTGTGCTTCTGGTCTATATATGGCAATTTGGCATGTGGATTTAAATTACAGGGGTAGGCTCTACCACCACTTGTTAAGTGCTGATGACAAAGAATAGAAAAATCTACCTCTTAAAAAGCTGCTGGGCTTTAAAAGAGGGTTCTCTTAGAAAGACTTAATTTGAAGATTGTTTCTAATTATATATTGTTGTCTGAGATCTACTTTCTTCCCCTTACTTTTTTACTATTAAGACATTTATATGAATGCAGGATCTTGTTTTCTTAAGCAATCATCCGCTCTTGCTATTTATTTTCCTTGTGAAATCATAATCCTTTATTTGTCACAGCACAATAATTTCCATGGCAACCAGCTGTGATGTCACATGCAGGGACTTATGATTTAAAGAGTGGTTTTGCTTTTAAATATAAAGTTCCTATCTTGTAAGCAAATATCCCTTGCCCACCTAAATGCTGCAATTAAATGAGAACAGAAAAATATATGTTATAGAAGCAATACTATACCTAGCCAGAATAGTTGTCAAAGGTTTCTGTGAGATAGTGGCAACTTTTCAATGCTCTTTTAACATAGTTTGCTGAGTATTATTTTGCATTTGGCTCTAATTCTGGGCCACTATACCTTGTCTGCCGAATACATGAAAAGACGTTATTCTAGAAGGAATTGATTTACGACATGAAAGTTTTGTATCTTCACGAAGTCTCAGGAGAGCCTTGAAGATACATTTTCTGTCTTGCTGTCTGTCCTGTAATAAGGACAAGGATTCCATTTCCTTAGAGTATGTGGAGCTTTTAATGCCCTGGCACTTGGGCCCTCTCTGGAGAAAGAGGTGGGAGAGATGTTCCTTCAGATGCTTGTCAGGCTGTGGCTGCTCCTTGTTAAGCACTAAGAACAAAACCAGGAATGAGAAAAAGCAAACTAGAGGCTCTGTGCTTGCGTTTCATTAGCACTGCTGGCTTGGTGCCCAACTATGTCAGAAAAAACTACTTCCTTCAGAAATTCAGGTTATTGATTAATGCTGTATTAGGGACTTCAGATGGAGGAGGTACACACTGCCAAAGATGCTTTCTCTGACGGTGGGCACTTGGAGGGCTAAGTAAGATTTGACAGTGATCTCTGACCACAGCACAGGACCACAAGACAAGGCTCTTTAGAGTTAGGGCTTTCAGCACAGAGAGCATAGGCTTCAGCACAGAGGTCGACCTATTTATGTGTTCAGAACAAGAGAGAGCTTTTAAAATTAAAATAGCAAGGACAGTCATCTAGCAGGCTCAATAGATTTCAACGCTATGCTCTATCTTTCATAGTTATTTAAGCATCCTCCTGAAGCTCAGGCATGTGACGCTGACTTTTAAAACACATGACAAAGATAATGGAATGACGAGCAGAGAAAGAAGCCTTAAACAGTGGGATGGACTTCTCTGGTATTTGCAGAGCTTTTTCTCTCCTCTCTTCCTTTTAAAGGTTTTTCAGTGTGAATGGTTTACCATAGTAAAAATAAGATAGTATTAGCTGAGGAGAGATCGGAGGGAGGGGAGGAGCAAGCACTCTGTCAGAGGAGGAGATGTAATAGCTCTGACCTGCTGAAGTCAGTGTGAGTTGACCAGGGGCAGGATTTCAAATCAATTGCACTTGCACTGCA